CCCACCCTTTTTTTTGGCTGCTACAATTTTTTTGAAATTTTGGGACAAAATAGCTGCTGTAGGCAACCTGTATTCTCTAAGTTTTGTGAAAGTGGTGGCTGCGAACTTTTACTATTGAAAACTGCTGCAACTGTATCTTTTGAAAGAAAGAGTCTCTACATGCTAAGTCAAGTTTGGTGTGTTGTATGTACCATTTGGTCTAAAATGAGTCACTCTCAGGTCTGAGAGTCGTGTTTCAATTTGGCAGTCAGCACTGCATGCCATGCAGCCTGTTACTCTTGTACTAGCATGGCTATGCTGTAGTATTTAAATAATATGTTCTGGCACTTTCAGCAATGGACTGAAGTGGTACTCTGCGTATATAAAGTTCTGCACTGAAACTTGCAAATCACTGTCTATACAATACCATTCATTTCTCCAAGGCAATTTAACAGGCCCATGTTTTGCAGTTGTTTTTATTAAATATCAACTACTCAAAATTAGGTGCTCTCCTTCAAAATGAAGAAGATTGACACTGTCTCATCTTACACAGTTGCACATGTATATTGTGGTTTTTTTTCTGGCTTTTCAGCTGCAACTAAGGAAATATTATTTAGGGATATTAGGAGCACTCTTTCATGCTCAATATGGTGGTGATCTTACTGTTCCCCATTACAGATTGCACTAGTAGACCCTTGGCTGCTGCTTTTATTCTGGACAGTTATTGGTAATGGTGTTGGTTGCAGTGAGGAAGCTACTCACTGGTATCTGCTTTTTTTCCTGCTCCTCTTCAAAACAAATATTGAGAATGGAAAGGTTAAACAGCTTTTGAAACGAAACATGTGAAACGCAGAATTAAAGTAACACTAGACTGTATACCCAGCTTTAATATGTGAACTTAGTGTTAGAATAACAGGTAATCTTATTGCTATGCAAAAAGGGTAGTTATGACCACATAGTTTTCACTAATAACTCCCCAAAACTGTGTTACTGGTAAAAGGATAAATTGTTTCTCTCCTAAGAAACATAAAGGGGGAAATAAAATCCATTTTTAATTTGATCTTTTAATAGGTGTTATGGTGAAACCGTACGGGGAGTCCGGAAACAGGGCATTGAAGAAAGGTTTTTCTCTGAAACTCAAACTTACAAAGAACTTAAAAGGGATTGGAGTTAGTATTGCTGTGACAAGCCAGTACTTCAGCAGGGACATTTAGTACTTTAAAGAAAAGTTAGTTGTTCATATTGAGCTTTCCAATACTGAAAAGTTTAAAGCAAAAGGCTAGTGTTTCTTTGAAGTAGCTTTTGTCTTTGCGAGACCACCACCATCTTACCTTTGAGTATCCAGCTGTTTCGTTCATTATCTTTTGGAGGTGAACTGCCTCCCGCAGGAGTCTGAACAGCTGGCTCTGGGCACCTGGAGGTGGTGACCTGTCAGCACTTCAAACACCTATTACAGTGTCATATGCTGTATATAGCTTCTTCTTCTCATGGCCACAGGTGAAAACAGTCAGTGTCAAAATGCTGAGTGTAGCTTTGTCTCTCACAAGACTGGATGGGGAGCTTTCATCATTGCTACTCTTGGTCTTGGTGCCAACGACATCTAGAAGATTTTGAGAGAAGGGACAGGTTATACTGTGAGACTGTTGTCTTTTTCCTATTATTAAAAAAAAAAAAAAAAGTGGAATTTGCTGTATGCATGCCTTCTTTCCCCTTCTTAGTAGTGGAAGTGCATATATAATTTAAGGGAGACTTAAATTCAGTTTGAATTCATGTACTGTTTGAACTGGAACAATTAACACTAGGGGAAAAGAAGCACATAGCTGTTTACTGAAAGGAGGATAGAAGAAACAATATTTGATCCCTTTGGAATCTTTACTTTGTGAATTACTTCTTTATATATAGTGTATTTCACTGCTTCTTCCTTGGCAGTGGGTTATACTCCTTTTTTGGACATTGTAATAGTACAAAGAGAAAAGGAAATGAAACATCGAACTTCAAAAAGTAAACAATCTGTTTGTAAAAAACCACAGGAGTTACCAAGAAAAAAGGCAACTGTAGTAGCCGAAACAGCTATTTGTACTTTCTTTCTTTTTTTTTTTTTGGTCCTTTGCTTCAAGGTTGCTTCCACTTTAGGTAACGTGCCCATTTGAACTTTTAGGTTTTAATGGTAATCTGAAGGCAGAAAATTCCCCATTGCTTTCCAGAAAGATCTGCTCAAGACTTGAGAGGGTAATGAGTTGAAATTGCAGTGACTGCCTAACTTCCACTGTGTGTTTTAAGCATCACTTCTCCATGCATTGTGAGGCAATTCTGTGTAAATGTAACATTCCACAATGGTGCAGCATTAGGGCTGAACCTAAGCTTTTCACATTTCCTCTGCGTTTTCTTTATAGCAAACTTATAAGTTTAAGGCTTCATCAATGGCCCATTGATCTCAACTGTAAAATCTGTCTCAGCCTTGAATGACTTTGCATCAGGCCCAAAACTGGTGTGTTGCTTTGGCAGAACAAAAATTACTCCCAGGGAGGAGGAAAGCTCTGTTCAGGGAATAAGAGCAGCTGTTTTGTTTACATTTCAAGGGCCTTGAATTTTGTTTTTCTTCATTTATCTTTATAGTTTAATTGCTTTGAAAAAGGTGGAAGCATTGCCTGTACATTCTTCCTCCTTTATTGCTGTCCTAAAGCAAATGACAGGAAAAATCTGAAACAGGTCTGGTGTCTTGTTTTGATTTTTTTTAAATGATGCCAGAGGAGAATTCTGAGAAGTGTCTTTCTTCATTTTTCCAGACCTCCTCTTCTGTCATCCACTGCTGGTTCTTGACTGCCTGTCATTCTTCCCACATGCTGGTGCTGATTAACAGTACCCCTGGCTTGAAAACTTTTGGTCATTGTTTGGCTGAAGATTGTACTCTTTTTTTAATAACTGACACCTCATATTCTGGAAAATGTGGTTTCCATTTTTACAACATTTAGCACTGATAAATAAAAGAGGCTATTTAGCGCCCATCTGGGTAGTGCACGTGTGACCCTTTCCCATGTGACTACACCGTGATCGATGCATTTCTCTAACAAGCTCTTGAGAAAGGCCCTTGGAGATAGCTAAGGCATTGCTTTTCTGCGTAGAGGAACAATAGCTTTCTGGAAGCAGTGCAGAGTCTTCAGAATTTCCTGACAGAGCTTGGAGTGGTTTGTTAAACATATTGTGTGTCCTGCCTTTTCTGCTTAGTAGATCCGGCTTCTTCTTGACCTGCGTAATGTAGGCAATTATGTTAGTGCACCTAAGTGGGAGAGTGCTAATGTGTATACCCCAGGGTAAAGACAAAATTCTTCTTAAAAAGAAAACAAATGTTCTTCCTCTGCTTCTGCCATATGAAAGCATTAGCTCTAGCTTTGCGTGGCTGCTTTGGTTAAACAATTCTCAGTAATAGTTTGAGTGGCTGACACATGTGCCCCTTCCCCAGCAGCAGCACCACCACGTCCGCAGGCGTCTGGTGGGGATACCGTGTCCCTGCTGCTCCCGAATCTGCTCGGGGCACTCCTGGGATGAATGCCCTGGTCAGTGCCCTGGGCTGGGACATGTGGAAAGTTTTTGGTTTTTAAAAGTGCTGAAGATCATTGTTAGGGGAATTGGCAGGTTAGCCGGCTGCAATTTCTAGTGGGAAAACGAGGTCGGTCTAAGTGTTGCCCCTTGCTGTTTCTTACCCATGGGTTCTAGCACTATCTACTGCAGAGGTGATTGTAAATAGCATAAATCAATGGCCTGAGAAATGTTTCCAGTTGCATGCAAAAATGGGAAGATCGCATCTGTATTCAGAGGAACTGGTTTTTTGGCCACAGCTACTGTATCAGCAAGAACTGCATTACAGTTTTGTGGCATCTCTATTATTTTTATTTCAGATTACTTTACCTTGACAAGCATTGGACCTTGTTATTTTTTCTGGCTTCCGTGTGGCATCCTCTAGATAAAATTGTGAGGTGCTTTCACCTTCTCTTTAAAAATCCAAAGGTGCCAAGTATGCAAGTCTGATATTTTCTTTCTGTTTTTACTTCTGATTGTGAATAACAGGCAAAAATCTCCTCGAGGGAATTTTTGAAACCACTGAGAAAAGTGCTTGCTGAGTTTGAAAATCATATATGATGAAGTTTAACTCTCTCTACTGGGCAGGCCGGTATGAGGCCTATACACCATCTACTCTTTTCTTAAGGAATTTAAATGCTGCAGTGACCCCCTGACTAGGGTGAATTTCACAGGCACTCTCCAGATAGCACTCTCATTTCTTTGCCTGCTAGAAAATGTGTTGCATACTGCAGGAGCAAGCAAAAAAGAACTGGACTGACATCAAAGGCAAAGTCTTTCTGTACAAAATGCTAGAGCTTTTAAGAATGGTAAAAGTCTGTCAAAAGAGATGCATTCTGTTTTTCATTGTAAGCCCCTCTCCCTCCCTCCCTCCTCTCCTCTTCTTAGGGAGTATATGTCAAAAATGAAATGGTGCCAGCACAATATTTATGGGAGCAGTTTGCAGTGACTTTCCTTAGAAGATATTTGGCCATTTGAGGATGATTGTTTTTAGTCTAGATGGAAAAATATATGCATACTTAAAGCAGTAGCCTTCCCTTCACCAAAAAGTAAGCTACCACCCTGTAAAAAAGTGTCGGATGAGTACTGAATGTTTACTACATTGAGAAGTGTGTATCTTCTTCATATAGGTGGATGATTATTTAATAGCCCTGAGCTTAACATGAACCTCAGCAAGGGCGTACTGATATCTGAAAAGTCAAGAAAA